TGATTCCTAGCTGAGAGGGAAGCAGAAGGACCTTAGCAACGGCATTGAAAAACATTGGCAAATGCAAAAAAGAAGAAGGTACTTGGAAGGGGAGCTGAAAATAACTGGAGTGTTAGGACAGAAGCAAAAAGGCAAAGGCTGTTTTAGAAAAGACTCAAAGGTAGGAAGAAAAGTGTCAGTTCTGCACTTAGATGGCACAAATTCTTGAGATCAAGACTTGTGAGGTGATAATTAGAGAATCAAGTTGAGAAGCTGAGATCTGTTGAAAGACTTGGGAAACCTTTAGGTGTGTACATATTCTTGCAAGTTAAGATGAAGAATGATTTTTTTGGAATGGGGAAAACATCTGGTTTGTTTATATGTGTGTCCTAAAACATCTTGTGTTTTAAGGTGATAGTTAAAAATACAGTGTTTTTTAATTCTGTCATAGTATTTTTATATAAAATGGGCTTTGTTTCTTCTCTGAAGAGAGTTTTTTTTCTGTAGGTATGCATATCTGAAGGTTCCTTTTTTATGAATATTTCAAATCAGGAGATCTCCTTCGTAAAACATTTGGCCACTGGAACAGAGTTTGTTTACTTGATAATTTACACTAGCTTCTGCTCAGTTCTGCCTTTTCAAAATATATCTGTGACTGCAGGATGTAGTTCTAAAAGTTGAGAACAGTCATCTGTAGTTTCAGCTGGTAACAACCATTTTTCACAGTTAACATGTTCAATCCAGTCAATGGATGTGTCAGGAATCTCATCTCACGGTCTGTGTAGCTGAACTGAGATGGATTTAATGTCAGATTCTCTCTTGTTCGTCTGTATCGAAACAAATATCAGTTAATACATGTAGTCAATAAAAATATATTGAGAGAAGATTTCAAAAGGTGTCAAAACAAGTGAATAGGCAAGGAAACCTGTCTTTTGTGCTCTTTTACTGTAAAGAATTATTTATTTTATTGCAGTTGAAATGGAATGTGAATTCCATGTTTAAGTTCTATTTGTGGTTACGGGTGTCAATCCATATAAGTCACTGAAGTTGTACAGAGTAAATGAAAGCAGAGTTTGGTCCGATATTTCTATAGTTGATGTGTTGATCACCCTTTTAAAATTTACAGAATAGCAGAAAAGAGCCTCCCTCCCTCCCCAACTGACTAGCTATTAGCTTTCTGCTATGCTTTTGTGATCTTCCCAAAGCAGCACCCAGAGCACTCCTCAGAGGGTGGCACCGCCTTCGGTAGGAGCTTCTTGGCCCTCGCTGTAGGGGCACTAAGGAGGGGGTGTGCCCTGACTCCCTAGAGCCCCCGGCCTACAAAACCCTTCTCTTTCTGAGCCGAGAAACTCTCTTGAGATCAGGACTTGTCAGCTACCACGACTCATATATTTGATTCATACTTTTGTCATTTTGTCTCCTCATTTAATCTTTTAGTAATAACTTCAAACCTGTGAGCATATAAGGTAAACTCCATCCGGGAACTTTTCAAAGGATTTGTGCATGGTATACATTATAAATTATCTCAGAGGCAGAAATGGTAACAGAAGTAGTTTAGTTAAAAAAAGCACTTGGTTTTCCACTTAGAGACTTCACAAATTCTTTATTAGAGGTATAAATAACTTCCTTTTTGTCTTCCAGAGACAAAGCGATGTCACAATCACATGTAAATCCATTGTACTCTATGTGTTCCATCAAGTACTATCAGATTTTGAGGCATGGTTTGTCTGCAGTGTTTGGGTAAACCCTACACCATAGATCTTGGGACTTTCATTTTAATTGTGCTTGCTTGTCTGTACTTTTCCCCCAGTTTGGCTTTTTCTTTAATATTAACAGCCAAAAAATGGATTTTTTTTTAATTTTTTTTTTTTTACTGCCAAATTTTATGTAGAATAGTTACTAAAAGTAGCAGTAAAAGCAGTGAAGACCTGAAAAGCAGTGGCTGAGACAGTCATGATGGTATGTGTGTACATGTACGTATTCCTCGTAGACTCTGGAGTCAGCAAGTTCTTAAGACCTTCTGGTATGATTAGGCTGAGCAATATAAGCCACAAAAGTATATGCATTTACATTATCTGGCTTTTGGAGTTTAATTTAAAAGCTAACTTGGATCTTACAACCTTTGAAGAACTATAACATAGTTTGGAAACATCTACAAAAGATCAGAAGATGTTAAAAGGGCAGCAGTGCTTATGTAGACAATTAGCACAGAAAACCTCAGGGTGGTTTCTCCATAGAAGGAGAAGTCAGAGGCCTGTCAGTCGATACTGTAGAGAATACACTGAAGGCTGTCCAGACGCTCCATTTTATGTTGTAATCGAGCATAAGTAGCTTCAAGGTAAAATGGTCATACCTGAATTTTGCTGAAATGAAGTGCTGTTTAGGACCTTTGTCAAACCTATTGATGAATATAGGGAGCCGTCAAACCAGATGCGCTGGCTGCGTAGTTTAATGACCATTTTATAATTTTATAAGACTGGCAGTTATATATGCTAAGATTATAAAAGTAAATAAATTATTTCTGTGGGTGATGTGCAGATTGCTTATGGGAATCAGGAAGCAATTTTCTCTTGCTCCTTACAAGATGCTTAGACCAGAACTGTGGAAACACAGCTGAGAAATGTGGTTTGAGGCAGAAGCTTGGTGGTAACTCCCTCGGGCAGTTGCAGCTCAGCAGCTCTTCTGGGAAGAAATAGCCTTGCTCTGGGACCCAGGGCAGCATTTCTCAGCTTAGGAGGTTTTTATTTAATTTCAAAGAATTGTATCCTGCAGTAAAATCTTTATTCTCTCTCCCTTGTTTTTTTTCCCTTTATTTTTCTTTCATGACACAGATGGGGTTTTCCCTGGGTAGCCTGTTCGAGGCCCTGGCTGCAGCAGAATGCCCTGGGTGTTCTCTTCATCTTTCTCCGAAGCCTCAGGTGTAGTCAGAGTATTGAACTAGATGAATAAATGGGCTTCCCTGATGAGTCAAATCCTAATGCCTCATTAAGCAATTTCTAGCTGCCAGAATCAAGCAGCCTCCAAACCAGACTGATTCTGCAAAAAGCAGTTATAGTACAGTCTGTCAGGTTGGGATTTTCCTTCCTTTTTTTCTCCCCCCCCGGCTGGTTTCCATTTTGGTTTGATGCTTTCAGATGCCTTGTGTGCAGGGGTTTTTTGTTGTTCCTTTTGGTTTAAGTATTTTTTCATGTAGTCATTAGCTTGTTTCAGGGTTTGAACGTACATCATAAATATAGATCATCACCTGTGTGGTACTGTTTACTGATTTTGGAAGTTTGAAAGCTGACAGTTAAATCTTTAAAAAACTAGGCAATTATTTATGTACCTCAGTAGTCGGTCTTTACGCAGTCCTTAGCAAAAACGTTCTGCTAATTGTTTTTGCATACTGTTTGAAAAGTACCAGTGAGCCAGCCCCTCTTTTTCTCTCTCCTCTTCCTTATTTCCATTGCATGTAGAGCCTGTGTTTCAGCTTTAAAATTATTTGCTCTTATTCTTTTATTGCCAGGTGACCGAATCAATTCCTCCTCTTTAACCGAAACGAATAATTGAAACTTTATTCATTATTTGCTTTCAGAGATAATGTTTATACCCTTTTCATCAAAGCCGTTCACTTATATATACTTCTACTTATTATCACTATGCTTTATTTTCATACTGCTCCTGTAAATTATAAATACCACAGTCAAATACTACATTAAGAGTGAAGTTGCTCTGATATTTAAGTTGGTTACTTAGAAGAAACTGGTTATGTAGCGGGCTCTCGCCAGCATTTTCTATGACCTTGGTCAAGTCAGTCATCGGTGCCTCGGTTCTCTTGACTGCAAACTGGAGATAACGCTGAGCGTTCTTCGAAGCCTGGAAAGATCAACCCCCCTATTTTTTAAAAAAACATTTCTCAGGCAGTACCCAGTTGAAGTGCAAACTGTTATGAATAGTCATTATATAAAATATTATGAGAGTGTTTATGTTAAAATGTTCAGCTTGGTGATCTTTTATGGTCTCTATTAGGACTGCTGAATAAGAGCCCGGTAAATAAGGTAATGGTAAACCAGAGGCCCGTTTAAAATTGTTTGCAATCATTCCTCCTGGTTTTTAATGATTTAAAACTGACACTGGTTCTTAACTGGGTCTCCGGACCTACATGTTCAGATTTCTTCTTTTCTTCTCCAAATAAAATTTCAATAAAATTTAGTTTTAGATGTTGCAATATGATGCTGTCATCTAAAATTTGGTATTTCTTTGAGTACAAACTGATTTCATAATCTATTTTGAGTATGTGCAAATGAGTGAAATCACACCAGAAGACACTTCTGTTATTTGAAACTGGCATTATTTAATTTGAACTTGAATTTTAGCCTCAGTTTGTTGTCAGAAATTAATTTGCAAAACCAATTTAAACAAACCTATGTCTAAACTCTACTAAACTATTCTTTCAGTCAGTCACTAGTTAAAAAACTTCATTCTTAATTTAATGAGTAACCACTTAAGGTAGTTCATATAGTAAGGTTTCATTTTATTTTTTATTTATATATATGCATATGTGTATTTTTATACAGAATTTAAGTTTGTGCCTACACTTACAGAAGTAGACTGGTGATTTCTCCTGTTTATAAAGTTACCGATTTGTGATCTGAATGAAATATTTCAGATGAAAAGGATAGCATGATAATGAAACATCTTGTTCCCAGGAAAAAAGGGCATACAATTGTGATTTTTACTTACTGTAATGTCACTATGCATGCTACTTTGAAAAATATCGTTTATACTGTTCCTATTATTTTATTCTTCAAGGTCTCTGGGATGCATTTTATATGAGATGTGCTGTATGAACCATGCATTTACTGGACACAATTTTTTGTCTGTTGTATTGAAAATTGTAGAAGGTGATACACCTTCTCTGCCTGATAGATATCCAAGCAAACTGAATGCTGTCCTGTGCAGGTATGTTATTTTCTTGTTTAACAGGTTTTTAAGTTAATTTGGAAAATTGCTTAATTATGACTTTTGGTTTTTAATGTTTCAGCATGTTAAATAAGAATCCTTCATTGAGACCAGCAGCAGCAGAGATCCTAAAAATCCCTTATATCGATGAACAACTAAAGGTATATAAGAAAAAGGGATAGCTGTCCGCTTACTGTTTGAGTATGTGTTTTGCAAAAGCAGAACAGAAGCAGGGAAAACATGTTGAGCATAAATAATTAGGTAGCGGTTCACGGGAGCATTAATCCAGGAGACTTTCCAAGCTAAGTTAAAAATATGACTGAGGTAGCGAGGCAGTGAGAAATTAAGCCCTTGTCGCTTTACACGCTGAATGTATCCCCTTTTAAATGTTATGAGCAGTAAGGAGAATGGGCATTTATGTGTAACAAGTGCCGATAATTCAGGCCTGAGTACATATAATCTCTAAACTGTTCTGTCATAGTTTTAATGGAAAACAGTGCATCTTGCTCTTTTGGTCCCTGCTTCAGTGTATGTATTATTTGGCTTTCTACGGAGATGGGGAAGGAAACTGCTCAGTTAGTTTTTACGTTAGGACTGTATTGGGTCATAGCTGAAGAGTCTGGATCACTTTAGCTTCAAGTGTTGATACCACTTCTATTTTATTTCCTTGCAGAATATACAGTACAAGTTCACAAACATGGCTGTGAAAGACAGGGCACTTAACTGGCAGAAAGAAGCTGCTACCATTTTTGATGCTGTGTAAGTATTTTTAAGTGTTTTATAGGCAGCAGTGTATGAAATTACAGTGTTGCCAAATAATATAATGTTGTAAACACTTGTGTCAATCTATAGTGCTTTATATTTAGAGAGACCTATTCCGCAGAAATACAGAAAAGCGACTACATTAGTGAGATGCATGATTAAGATTTGGGGGGTGGGGGGAAGATTTGCAGATCAAATATTTGTATTGTATAACTGTGTAAATTGCACATGCACGTGTAGTATATGCATATGTTAATTTAGTACCAATTGATATGTAAATTACCACCTTTGCCTTTACGTTTTGAAGGTTTAGATCATCATTTTAGTTATGTCATGATAATTTCTAGTGCTGCTCTTTGTGTACCTACTAATTATTGAAATTGAATGATGTGAATGCTATGCTTCCTAAATGACACCAAACTAAAAGCGTATACACTTAAACTAATATTCAGCTAATATGTCTGTAGGATACTATTGTATTTGTCTTGCAACTATAGTAAGAAATTGCGGTTAGTGATGTTTCTTGAGTCTTACATCAATTGTGCCTTTGCACATGATCTCTCTTTTAGGCACTGAATATGTATTAAATTAATTAATTGCATTAAACTACAATGCTGCAGTGATTAAAGCAAATGTCAGAATGGGCAATTCTATTATGCCTTTGTAAATTAGCTCTGCAGTTTCGATGGCAGCTGGCCCTCCCCTTTGCTTTCTGTCCCTGAGCTTTCTGGACTTGGTTTTGCTGTGTTAGGAGCTAGCACTCTCAAAATCAGGAGTTTGTGATCCTGTGTGGACGCAATGGACATCCTTGTTTCTTGTTTCCTCTAAATAACTGCCAAGGATTTAACAGCTATCTGAAATTTCTTTTGAATTATTAGGTAACAGCGATAAAGAAGTCCGTGCTCCAGTCCAGAATTAGCAGTGCCTTTGAGGCCATAGGCCTTTCCCCTTTGCTTTTTGTGACTTCTGCTCTCAGAGAGGACCCAGAGTTTTGCAGCAGATGCTGCCAATCCTACTGCTTGCAAGCATCCCTTCGGGAGAGGTGACCGCCTTCAGCTTTTCCAAAGAAAGTGTTATTTAGTATCAGCGGTAGGAAAAAAGTGGAGTAAAGACAGTGGAATTCTGCACAGCAAAGTCTTCTCTACATCTTTTTTTAGTCAGTTGAAGTACGGGGAGTGTATGTGCAAACCTCTCATCTCTAGAAATTGTGGTTTGAGTTTCCACCCTGTCACTTCTCTTGCTCTCACTCATTGACAGATGAGTGTCTGTCTTTTTATGAGACCAAAGTTCTCTGGTTTGGTATAAATAGGTACCTTTAGTATAAATAGGTTATTGAACTTTGCAAGCATAGATGTAAAATGCAACAATAAATGATACCTGTGTTGGCTGGTAACAACTATCTAATAGATAATAGCAACTGGAGCTGGCTGAGACTGCTGTCAAGTTTTTGGCCTCACTATTCCGCATGATTGTTTCTGCTAGAAATAACCCTTTGCTAGTATGCTGGAAGTACAGGAGTCAGACAGGTAGATAGGCAATAGCCGGGAAATATTAGATGTATCCTTTGTCTATGGCTGCTGTATTCAAGTTGATTCAATTAACTTTGAGTGGACTCCTACCTCTTCAAATTAAATATAGTTAACTGCAGAGATGTTCCTTAGAGATATACCTTAAATAGTTTTAGGGCACTGAAATCTTGCCCAAATATTATGCCAACTCTATCTGAATTATATTGAGTATTTAATGCTTATTGAAACATAATGTATGAGAATCTTCAAGAAACTTTTAATCCATGCCTTTATTTTGTGGGTACAAGATTTCCGATTATCTATATGCACCAAAAGATTGTAGGTGCTTTGAGGAAGCAGTATTTTTACCTGCAAAATATATACCCAGACCTCAAGAATAGACTGATAAACCCACTTTCTATTATTTGTAACATATACTATGTTCTATACCTGATCCATTGTCATTAGTTTGAATATATTGAGTCTCATCACCTTCCAAATGGACACCATATATTGACAGAGCTAGCATATGGGGAGGACATGCATGTATATCCCAGAATCTGTAGCTGTTCTTGTTCAAAAGCAAGCCTGTAGTCTCCAAGATGAAAGGCGAGTTCTAACTACAGACATCATGTTCTTATACTTTTGTTAAAAGGAAATAGAAAGTCATCTGTTTCCGTGCAGAGGTCCAGAGTTCCTAAAAATTGTGGCGCAATGGATGGCAACTGTTTTTGTTTGAATGTGAAATTTACCTTGAGGTTTTCAAATTCAGGGCATCAATTTGAGAAAATAATCCTAGGAGAAGCTTCACTATAAATTATCTTCAAGCGTGCTGCAGTCTGATTATTTTTGGCTAAATGTTTGGGATATGCATAAAGTCATGATCTTAATGTGACTTTCATTGTATTTTTGAGAATGTTAACTGTCTGTATTGCTACTGGTAAGCAACATGCCAAATAATTTCTGCAATCCCAGATCTAAGGAGGTAGGTGAAATGAAATAAAAATACCTGAAAAATGGTAGAGAGCAGAAAAGTGGAGGAGAAATAATTTAAACATAGTGAATTTCCCCCATCTGCTGTAATGAAGCAATACTCTAGTCTGAGTGAGCGTACAAGGAGCTGCTTGTTATGGTGTCCACCTCAATCATTGCTACTTTATATTTATGATTTTTTTTAATCAGGAATTATTTTTGCCATGTATAGTTGAGTCTGGTTTCTTCTAGCAAAGGCCTCTAATGGCTTACTTTATTCCAGTCCCATGCAAGTCATAAATATTAAATATTTAAGTAAGCATAAAGCTGTACAAGTTCAGTATCGACTTGGATGAAAAATGGCTTTTTTTTTTCCCCAAGAGATTCTTATAATTTAAATTAGAGTTTTTTACAGGGGACAAGAAATATGTCTACATTATTCATACTTGAAGAGTTAGTTCCATTCTTATGAATAATTGAACTCTTCTTGTCTTTGTCCTTAGTCTTTCATATTTCAAACTAATGTTCGTATCTTTATACTATTTCCCTCTATAGTCAACATTTGAAAAGCATAATGAAAACTTCTCATTTATTAAAATCCTGATTTCAAAATGATAGTCCAGAAGGAGTGTTACCATTTGTATGGTTACAAAACTGGGCTCTTAGATGATCAGAAGTGAATTTATCTCATAAGAGCAAAAACAGTATCTTGAAATGAATACTTAGTATCAGAAATATATGGTATAATAAATATATATTGGTGTAAGTGAAACACGACTGCCAAGGCATTTTGAACCACGGTTTAATTTTTGTAATTACTGTAGGTTGTGAGGTAGAAATCTGAGAGTAACATCCTTTTTCTGATGCAGGACTAATATTGCTCTCCTGTGTTGATAAATACAGCTGAGATACGTATGCCAATAATTCATGCTCAGCATTCAGAGATGGTCTGTGGAGACCACTTTACTGGTGAATTATTATTATTGAACCAGAAATTCAAGAGGAAAACATGATAATTATATCTGTCATTAAAGGCACATTAATATTCTCTTTTATTCTAGACAGCTTGTAACAATCAATGTAAAATGTATGGGTGATACTGCGTTTTTTCTGTGGTTCTCATTTAAAGACTGCCTCTGTACTTGGAATATGCTCAATAATGAAGCCTGACGGAGTAAATATTTCACTATGCTTCAACATTTCTTCTTTTAAGGAGCTGAGTTTACCTTTTTCCATTCTCACCTGAAATGATTCACGTTCTTCATGAGTCTAAGTCTAAGTTTAAACATCCCAATTTCAAAGAGGCATTTTCTTTCCAAACTAAAGTCTATTTAGTGTGTTACAGTACCTGTGACTTTCTAATTATTCCATTTGAAATGACACTGTGCTTCAGTATCAAATCAAAATACTGATATTTACATTTTTATATGAAGGTGGGTTTGCATGCATTCAATTCCAGGCAGACGAAAGTTCATTTGCGAACTCTGCAGGAACTGTCTGAAGTACAGAAAATGACACCGTGGGAACGAATGAGGCTGAGGAAGTTAAATCCTGCAGATGAGAAAGCAAGGAAGTTGAAGTAAGTTGAGCACAACATCAGCATTGTGCCCTAACCATGCAGCTTTCCCCATCCAACAGTCTAACTGGAATGTTAGAACTGTCAAGCTAAAAATAAAAATAGAAAGGGTCTTCAGCTACTCAAAGTGAATGGGGATTTTGGATAAGTTAAATCACAGTAATTATTTATGTACAAACAATAGAACACTTGGTACTTTGAGAACTGTGCTTCTGGTTAAGTAAGTCTGTGAGCGCTTTGCAGATGTGTTACAATAGGAGACTTTATTTTAACGACTTGTCATTTTAAGGATTGCACAGTCTGAGAAGTTGAACATTTAGTTACAATCCAACTTTTGTCAATTGTTTTGGCCTAAGAGATTTGCCGATAGAAGTTAATAGCTCAGAAGACAGTCTTATCAAATGATCAAATGGGGGTAATGGACATGTTAGAAAGGCTTTATGATTTATGTTTTTTTATTGAGTGAGTGAGAGGTAATAAAAGGGTGGATTTGAAGGAGAATAAGTACTGTTTGTGAGTGGAATATGAGAAATAGCTGGAAAGCTATGTGTCTGTGCATGGATTCCTTTTTTAAATAGAAAGAAGAATACACTGTTTTGATGACACGCTTGAGTTTTAGCAGTTAAAAATATTTAATATTTTATTTGGTATGAATGAAAATTTGGTATGAATGAAAATTTGGTATGAATGAAAATTGGAAAAGGACCACATTCGTGTTTAATTCATTTTTAGTGTTTTCTTCAAAAGCATTTTGCAAAGTGCAATGTAAATTAACAAATGTTTGCTCAACTATTTTTGATTGTGAGAATTGGCATCGTAATCCTGTCATGCCAAAGCAAGTTAGCAGTTCAGTAAGGCAATGATATCCTAGTACAGAAAAATATTGCAAGGTGACGTGAAGTCTGAATTTATGGCCTCAGAAACTCTGCAGCTCCATATACCTGCAAATCAACAGTAACTGCAGTTGAGCAAAAATGCTCTGTAAAATCACATCTTAGTGTTTCTTGTGCCAACTTGTGATACCCATACCCAAATGCTACAAACAAAAAACTAAAGGCCTTCATTTCCTTTGGAAAAATATGTCTGATGAGCATTGATGTCTGTCTGACACTTACCTTTGCATTTGATACTGGAGACGATATGTAAGTTTATTCTTCTTTTAAAAAAATCTCCTTGAATTGAAACCACTATATAAAAGGTATTAAATTTAACACCTCTTCTGCATGGTGTTTTCAATAATGTGGTAGACCAATTTTTGTACTTATATGACATTTATAAATAGGAAGTCTATCTCTTTCACTTGCTTTAAATGGATGGAGATTAGGAAATAATACTTATTGCAGGATAGTTCTAGTTTGCTTTTTGTTTTCTTTGCTTGCATTTTAATTTAGATTTAATTTAATTTATTTAGATTTTCATGGGTTTTTTTCCCCAGCAACAAAATTAAATATATTTATTTTGTAATATAAGGACAACATATTAATCTTCAAACCTTATTCTCAGTCATGAATCTTTAAAAAGGATCTAGATTCAGCTCTGAATTATTGCCAGCTGACTCTGGCTGAAAGTACTTGAAACAGTGCAAAGCCAGTACCATCTCAGACTGGAGATCTGCTTTCAGCAGTGCAAAGCTAGAGATGGATGGGAGAGGAATACAGGAATGGAAACTGGAAGGGCTGCTTAATATAACTCCTGGCTTAAGTAGTCCCATGCAGAAAAAACACAGTTATCAACTCTTCCCCAGGTGAAGTGTTCACAGTACGCAAGTGCTGCATGCCTGTCTTCAACTGTAAGGTCCCTGCACTACATGATGGAATAAAGCCCAAAGTATTTAAGATCTTTGGAAGAAATAAAAAAGACTGGGACTAATAATTTACTCTTTCTCAATTATATCATCCAAGCTGTGAAAGAAAAACATAATGGTTTTGGAAATAAGGCCTGAAATATCTTTGTGAGTTCACTAAAACTAACCTAACCTTGAGTACATGCCACGAACGTTTGGCTCCGTGGAGTCTAATTATGGAATTTGTTTTTCCACATCTACTTTTAGAAGATCCCTTTGTGCACTCCCTGATATCACATCCTAAACATAAGTATTCTGTATTTACAGACAGCTGGCAGAAGAAAAATATCAAGAAAATATCAAAAGAATGCAAGAATTCAGGTCCCGTAATTTTCAGCAGCTGAATGTCAATGTCCTACATGTAAGTACGAGCTGCTGTTTTGGATGCCTCATTTATGCACATTCAGTGTACAACATTTTTCTCTTTCCCACATGCTTGCTTTAGCACTAGAGGTTACAGTCCTGGTCTGAGCCTAATAATTTGGAAGTGCATCAAAGTCTGCTGGACCGCTTAGCTGAACCTGTGGATCTGTGATGAGGGAAAGTACATGCAGTTATTCAGACATGGTTCAACAAACTCACTATTCATTGCACAATTTTCTTTCATTAAGTCACCCTTAAACCTAAATCTGCTCTCTGAAATGCACTTACTGTCAGTCTGTATGACATCAGAGTTCAAAATACATTCATTTTCAAGATGACTTTAAAATTGTAATCCTTTAAACACTCTAATTTGGCATGGCTGTGAGTTCTTTTCCTTTGATTACTCAAGAATATTAAAATTTCAACTGGCTTTTTAGTAAGAATGAAGTCTTGGAATGACTCTCAGTGTCACCTGTCCTTTGCTTTTAAGCTATCTGCAACAGAAGATAGGCCTGTTCAATTCTAGCGCTGCGTCTTATCGTAGAGAGAACAATGTCAGTTTGGAAATTATCAGTGAAAACGTCACAGACATAATGAGGTTTTGTTATGTGCTTTTCTTTTGGATGCACTCTAGTTTCTGTATCCCATTGTGTCTGGAGAAAAAAATACATTAAATCTGTCTCTGCTTATGGCTGAGTCACTACTGTTCATTTACAAAAAAGTTAGGATTTTTGTTTTTAGTATTCGCCCAGTATATGTCCCAGCAATTGTGCAGATCAGGGCAACCGTTGTATTGTGCTCCTGCTAGCTCTAACTGTGCCTCTTTCTCCATGCTGCTTTGTTCAACTAAGGAATCTGATGAGCAGACTTCAAAACCTCTAATTCATTCTCAGCCAGTCATTACGTGCGACTGTGTGTCCATAGGACGTGATGAACCAAGGGGAAATGAGACAAGTCAGCTCTGCATGTCTGAACTTACAGGCCATGGTAAGAATTCAAAATTTGATGTTGAAATGAAACTTCCTATCAAGGAAGCAACATTTGATTTTGTCCCTTGTAGTTAATTTGTGGTGGGGAAACTGCAGTATAAGAAGTGGTCAGATTTGTAAAGTTGTCACAGAAATTACAAAGAGGAACGGACAGTAATCTAGGTGGATGTATGTACAGCAGATGTACAGCAAGGTTAGGTGGCAGGAGGTCTGTGTTCCCAAAGTTTGAGTGACCTGTGAGCAGCGACAGAGGTGATCGCACTTTCTTGAAACGAGATGCTGGGTTAGAAGCTTTAACTTTACACATGTGAAATGATTGGTGTTAGAAAAGCATTTCCTAAATTATCTCTTCAGTGCAAAAATGTGTACAAGAATTCAGAGCATTTGCACCTTTGGTATGCTTTAATGCCATTTTCTTTATCTAGAACAATGAGAGAAGCAGATGGAAATTCTTTAAACTGTGTTTATCTATACTGTCCTCAAATAGTTAGCTACTGTCTAAGGAATATGAAGGACTATATAACATGTATTTTTCTGTAGACAGATGAACAACTAGTCAAGCTTTTCAAAAAGAGTCAGACTGCAGAACTGTTGTGCTTAATGAGGAAAATATTTTTAAGAGCACATTTATATGTTTTGTTTTTACAGTGTTCTGGAATAGTGTCATACTCTTAAACACTTAAGAATCATTGTGTAAGCACTATTGTGAAAGATTTTTAATGAGATTAATGCATACTTGCAAGATTCTAATATACTTTTAAGTATCAAAACTGCTGTTCTCTAATAGCTCTGCCTTTTAGTGTTGGTTTATGTACATCTGTGAAGGTATACGCTGTTAAATTAAAGGCATCAAAACCAGTTTGTTTGTGGTGGAGGTGGGGTTTTTTGATAGCAAATGGCTTTTTTCTTTCAGTGTAGCCTCATTTATGTCTATGTGCTTGCTATTTCACTGTGTAAGGAGGGATGACCTGTGTAGGAGAGAACACAGCTGCTAGAAATATGTCCTGGGAGGAGGGTAGGGAAGCTTGCAAATAGAGGACCGAGAGAAAGCAATAAATGTGGGTGGGAGATGTACTGGGGGAAGCATACAAAGACACCTAAATAGAGGCAGAACAACACTCATGAAAGGAAAGAAACTGATGTTTCTGCCTTCAGAGGTCATTAAACTGTTAAACTATAACGACAGAAATTAGATGCTTTTATATCTGTGATGCAAAAATTGGGTCAATCCATTGTACAAAACTGAATGCATGTTCAATTGCTTTTGCTAGAGTCTCTGACATTGAAGTGGTGGGTTCATGAGAAAAAGGAGCCACGGATAGGCAGGAGAAATTACATGGTTTCTCTGCTTTGTGAATAGCTTCATTCCTGAAGCTGATGTCAAAGCTGTTACTTACTCTATTCAATATTCATACTCTTCTTTTTTTTTAAACATTTCAGTGCAACCATGCATGTCCTACATGTCTAATTATTAAGTTATTAGCGGCACCTTTGTATTTGAAAATGTAGAAACAGTTCCAGCTATTGATTTTTCAATAGAATTTCGTTCTTGATCAATGTGCTATACAATAGAAAAACAAAAAAACTAGAAGCAGGGCTATAAAATGGTTTTATAAAGTTGTTTTACATGTTAATAAATCTTGCTAACCCGTATTAGGTTAGCAGAAGAAGTTAGAATACGAAAACCAGACTAAGACGCTCCCTAGTTGTAAGTAATAACTAAAAACTGTTGAGAAAGGGGAGAGAAGGCAGGAGAGTGATGGTGAACACCAAGGAGGCTCAGCAGCAGCCTTTAAATTACTTCAGGGCAGACCTAAAATTTCCTCTCAGGAATGGGAAAAGCTGGTGGGGAACAGCTAGGGATAGTACCGCAATCCCAACAAGTAGGGAGGGAAATTCAAACTATCTTTGGCTCATATCATGCAGTCCTTAAAAAAAAAATTGCAACATGAGCAGAAGAGAAGAGCAGAGCTTGGAGGACTGAAAGACCGGGCTCTCAAAAGGTTAGGAAGAGGCGTAGAGAATAAAACACCTTACACTCTGTGTTCACTGAAAATTTTCTAAAGCATTATAAAACACAGTTGTATGTCATTGGGGAAGGTGTCAAATACAAATCTCAAGTTTTTTAGCTTTAGTAAGTAGATTTAAAAACCATGGCATCTTGATCCAATTTTAGCAGTGGTAGTTACACTTGCTGGAAGTTGTGGAAAACAAGGCAGTGTAGTTAGATAAATGAAAATCACGATGACAGTTTGGGGTTTTGGACTTCATGGTGGACGAGTTTCAGCAATGTCAAAAACATTTAACTACTGTAGACTTTCCTGGGAAGTTTAAGCTTCTCTCCATGTTTGTTTTATGTAATCAGCAATGATCTTCTGAATGTTTTTTCATTCTAATTAGCAGCCCTGTGCACTTGAGAGACATTTAAAAGAGTTCTTTGAAATCACAGATAACTGCCCAGTTTGTTAGTCTTCAAGCAGGTTTTATTTTTTTGGAATATGAGAGATCTGCATGGACCCTGTGCTTTTGATGTTGAGATGAACTCAGTCTATTACTGAAAAGGTTCATCCTGATTGTTCGCAGTTGGTACAGCAAGTTCTTCAGAAACTTAAAGAAATAATCTGATGCTTATTCTTAGAGAAATGCTGCAGGCACTGTGAGTACTATTTTTTAACAACAAAAATAAGTTGTTTAGTTTTTCAACATCATGTTCTTTACTATGCCATCCAGCAATACTGTGAAGATTTATTCTTCTCTCAAAGGGACTAGGAATGCTGCTGAGTCCTGTGGGACTGACTGAGTGTGTGGTTTTTAAATGTGACGGTTCAGATGTCACTGACTAAGCCAGACCAGCTTGCAATGGCTGGCACACCTCGGCGTGCTGTCACCTTTCTGCCTGTTCACTTCTGGGCTCCCGGGCACATGTTCTGCAGCATCCTCCGTGCCTCAGCAGAAAATAAAGAACTTGGGGAGGGGCGGAGATCAAAGAAATATGAGCTTTTGCAGGCAGAAAGCACTTTGAAAATCTTCTCTGCTTGCATTTATTAAGGTCAAGAAGAAAGGGATCCAGTTTTAACCTGGGACTGGGCAGCAGTGAAAAATCATGTGAATAGCAAGTGATGCTATTTTTGTTTTAATGAGCCAAGAGAGGAAGCCATTCATTAAACACAAATATTCCAGAGACGTTATCTTGGCTCCTGTTGGTGCTCTGCTAGAGAGAAAGCACTGTCCCCCAGTCCCACTGCTTTCTCACCATTTGCTTCTGTGCCATGGAAAAAGTGCAAGCTTCAATTTGACCACCAAGTCCAGACTGTGGCTGCCATAGTCATATACTCCCACTGTTCCTTTCCTAAAGAATTTGACCTGTTTTATACACTCTGGAAAGTTCCCCCACCTTCTCTGTGTAGAAAGCTCTTCCTGGGCCAAAATACTGCAGTGCTTGTGAACCTTCTTATTTCTGGCTTAGATTTACTTCTGGCTGTTTCATGCCAGCATTTTTAAGATGCATTGCCTTCTTGCCTTGCAGCTTAAGTAGTTCTCTTCCTTCCTTTGCTTATTCTCCTCATGTTTTCATAGGCAGCAATAATATCCTTCTGTGTAAAACCTCTATATAATACTTCTGTATTATTCTTACGTTTTCACATTGGTCACTTTTAGCATACCTGAATCTTCCTTCCTTAGGATGTTCCCAAGCTGTTATCTCCCAATTTAGAACAGATTATTTTGTTTTTAATGCTTAACCATTAAACTCTGTTCTTTGAATTTTCTCCATTTCCATTATTCGAATTCTCAGGGTCACCCAGTGTTTGTTATACTCTCCTGGTCCTGCTTTGTATTGGTGATGCACTCCAGCTTAGTTTCTGGAAGGCAGTGCCGTGCATGCTGACTGCAGGAGAGCAGACCTCTCCCTGGCCGGCTGTGCAGAGCTGCTCTCCGTTACCCAGTGGCGTGAAGCTTCTGCGCCCTTCCTGCCCTCTTGGTGGTCAGCACGCTTCCAGAGCTGCTCTGCCGTGCTGGCCAAGCTTGCAGGGAAATCAAGTGTCCTTTCCTAAATCATCAGCCTATATGGTTAGGAGAAGTCATAAATAGGCAAGCATGGGAAATCCTCTTGGCATGCAGTGGCAGCAGGGGAAGTAGGCAGGGACGCTGGGTTATTAAGGAATATCTCTATAAAGCTTCAGGTTCTGGGACTTTGTCTCTCCAGTTCCTTGAGGTAGCAGGGTTTTGCGTGCATGCTAGAGCAAAGGATTCTAGGATTCTTTTGGTTTGACTATTACTTTTCTCCACGCTGCAGATCTTCAGAGAGTCATGGCAGATGAGTAGGTAAGATTCCTTGCAATAGTGAAGGTTTAAAAATGTGCTTTAAATTTCTATTTCTCTTCAGTTACTGTAATAAGTTTCTTAATGGTTTTGCATCTTTACTCATACAATCTAGAGTAAAAAAATGTTCCCTTTATATGTAAAAAAACACCCAACAGAGTTGCTAAGAAAGACTCAGCTAGAAAAAATTACTTTTATAATTATTATTATTAACAATACTAAGAAAATGGCTGAAGTATGTTGTGTGTATCATTAGAACAGGATATACCCTTACTGTACTGTTGCAGCTGATTAGACCACTAACGCGTTCCTTGGAAAGGTAAACCTTTGTAAGTATAAACCAATGAAAAATGGCTTTACTCATTTGCAACTATTTTATGTAATATTTTAATCTGCACTAAATTTTTTAGATTTGTTAATTAGAACCAAAACTTAAATTATATTTTGATATTGAGATACTTACGGAAAGGTATTTTATAGTTGTGTTTAATAGTCATTGAAAAATGTTGATGTCTCCATTTTATGTCTCCAGGAATTTATGGAATTGTCATCATACAAGTAATTTAAAACTCAAGTGGACAGAGGAGTTAAGAATATATTGTTATACTGGGAATAGTTTTGCTTTGCTATAGATATCTTCCTGTCTTTTCCATCTCCAGTTTCTCTGAGTACAAGCAA